TGATCAGTTTCATGTTGCTGCTGATCAGTTTCATGTTGCTGCTGATCTGTTTCATGTTGCTGCTGATCTGTTTCATGTTGCTGCTGATCTGTTTCATGTTGCTGTGTGCATTCGTGCTCGTCTGTTCACACAGACTCATGTCCGTGCTGCTGTTCTGCGTATTGTGTTTAATGTTTTTATGCTATTAGAGCTTATATTTTTAGTTGATGTTTTTATTAGTTCATATCTTAGATCTTATTACTGTTTTTCTTTTATATTTTATTGTTGGATGTAACTGGGACCCTGTGAACATAATTTTGATCCACCACATGGACCACATGTGGTGCGAATGACAAAGAATATCTGCATCTGTATAATACTTTCTGATTCATATATCCATTATTATCATTTTCATTATTTTTAAATCAATTTATTTTTCATTTTCTTATTTGATCAGTTTATAATTATTAATATATCTATTATAGCTGTTAGCAGCACCTTTCTTTGTTTCATGCATTTATTCAAAAACAGTATGTAGCTTGAATTAACCACCTGTTTCTTCTTTCTAGTGAAGAGAAAGAGAAAAGAGTCCAGTAAAGAAAAGTCTTATTTCATCACTGAATGAACATGAAGAACTGAACCGGACACAGCAGGAACAACACTTGTGTCTTCTTCTGGATGAAGCCCGTGAGACGAGGGACAGACACAATCATTAGTTGGACGCAGTAGTTTTTATTTTTGTACATTTTTCACTTCTTACTTTTCCTATTAAAAATTTTTTTTCTTAAGTGGTGTCCTTGAACATTAAATTTCCTAAACAAATTTTACAATGTTAAGTTCATATAGTGTTTGTTTAAATTCATACTGGAATTGAGAAGAATTTCCAATTGCATTTGATCTTTAATGGATCCTAAGAAAAGATTACTAGTATCTGCTCAACTGTTATTATGTTATAATTTTTTGGTTCTAGGATGAAGTGACACAAAAACAGTCAAAAATTCAGAAAGGACAGTTATCAATTATCAGTCATCAGTTATCTTTTAGCAGTTATCCTTTATCGTCCGTACAACTGTGGCCTGAGAGATTCAGCTGAAAGTCCTGGTGCACCTTTTATTTGAACCTGCAGAGATTTGAACAGCTGATCTGAAGCAAACAGGCAGGAGTTCACCTGAACTGACCACTCCTGCTGTTTGATGGTCTCCTCCTTCGCCACCCGTCCATCCATCCATCCATCCATCCATCCATCCTCTTCTGCTTCAGGGTTGTGGGAGCAGCATCTTCACCAGGGAGGCACAGACATGAACAGCCTCCTCTTCAACTCTTCTAGGACCCCATGGTGTTCACAGACCAACTGACTATTTATTAATTAATATCCTGATGCTGCTCAATAATCCAGGTAGAAAAATCTAAAAAGTTAAGTCTGGTCCTCTGGACATTCACAAAACAAACAATACAGTTCATAATAAATAAACTAAATGTTTTTTGTTAGTTTTGTTTTTTGAATGTCCAGAGGACCAGACTTAACTTTTTTAGATTAATAAGTAATAAATGTATGTTTTAATTTAATGAAAGACAAATCTTTAAAATTCAAGGACAAAATTTAATCTAATTGTTTTCAAGTCTGTATCTTATTGTAAAAGCAGTTTCAAAGATTACAGCACAGTGTGATGTTTTGCAATTTTAACATGAACCTTGTGCATATCTGCAAATAATAAAAGTGAAGATATTTTTAATACATCTTTATTGTAAAAATCTATACTAAAATGAAAAACACATGGGTTTAAAGCAGCAGGGAAGGCAGTAAGGTAGGATTATGAATCAGGTCTAAAGTTACAGCTCATGAGGTACTCCATTAGAGCATGACATCTTTTCCACAACATCGTGTGACAAAACCTTCAGGGTGTTCTTCTTCTAATACGTTTAGTGGTGGCTAGTAAGTAGCTTAAGGGAGCACTACCGCCACCAGGTGGTAAGACGAGTTGGATTCTAGTCCCCGCCTACAGAGCTGGTCCAGAAATGTACATGGAAACACAACAGACCCGAACCGATCTGAACCAACCCGAACTGATCTGATCCGCTCTGTGACAGTGGAAAAGGGGCATTAGTTTCCACAAAGGGTTCTGGTTCTGCAGAGGGTTCTGTTTCCACAGAGGACTTCCCTGATGTTTCGCCTGATGACTTCATTGCTGTCTCTAAACAGCTTCAGGGACTCTTCTACTCTGCCACCCTCAGTTCAGACTGTTGTTACAAACAAGCAGTCAACTCGAAGTTGGAGGACCTGCTTGTGTCCAGACCCAGCCTGTTACAGACCCCGGACTTCTCATAGATGCTTTCTTTGATAACGACTCTTAAGGTAGAGTACCAGACACTTACTTGTAAACACACCTTCTTGTGTTATTGTGGGATCAGGTCCAGAACCTGCCAGGTCTCCAGCACCCGCAGGGTTTCCAGCACCTGCAGGGCCCTGTTCTGAGGAGGTCCTGGCAGACGCTCCTCACGTCTCCTGTCTCGAGGGGGTCCTGGAGGACGCCTCTCAGTTTCCTGTCTCGAGGGGGTCCTGGAGGAAGCCCCTCACGTTTCCTGTCTCGAGGGGGTCCTGGAGGAAGCCCCTCACGTTTCCTGTCTCGAGGGGGTCCTGGAGGACGCCCCTCATGTTTCCTGTCTTGTGGGGGTCCTGGAGGACGCCCCTCACGTCTCCTGTCTCGAGGGGGTCCTGGAGGACGTCTCCTGTCTCAAGGGGGTCCTGGAGGACGCCTCTCACGTCTCCTGTCTCGAGTGGGTCCTGGAGGACATCCCTCACGTTTCCTGTCTCGAAGGGGTCCTGGAGGACGCCCCTCATGTTTCCTGTCTCGTGGGGGTCCTGGAGGACGCCCCTCACGTTTCCTGTCTCGAGGGGGTCCTGGAGGATGTCTCCTATCTCAAGGGGGTCCTGGAGGACGCCTCTCACGTCTCCTGTCTCGAGTGGGTCCTAGAGGACATCCCTCACGTTTCCTGTCTCGAGGGGGTCCTGGAGGACATCCCTCATGTTTCCTGTCTCGAGGGGGTCGTGGAGGACGCCCCTCACGTTTCCTGTCTCGAGGGGGTCCTGGAGGACGCCTCTCACGTTTCCTGTCTCGAGGGGGTCCTGGAGGACACCTCTCACATTTCCTGTCTCGAGAGAGTCCTGGAGGACGCCCCTCACGTTTCTTGTCTCGAGGGGGTCCTCCAGGACACCCC